CCCCTAGCTCATCCATCCCAGATGATCCGAGCAGGTTCTGCAGCACCAGGACCTTAAAGTCCACCAGGAACCCCCCAGGATCCCAAAGTGTTCAGAGTCAGACGGGAGGCCGTCTGTCCCACAGCTGAAGCTGGAGCCAGCCCCCCAACAGGACTGAGATCCAAACCCGGCAGCAGAGCCGTGCAGGAACCTCCATGAGCTGAATAGCTACAGGCAGCAGAGAGGGACAAAAGTCCTCCACAGCCATCGCAGAGACTGAGAGACCACCAGAAACCAGTTTCTAAACTGGCTGCTTTGGGTCTGCTCTCAGTTTTTGTTCCATAAATAAACCAGACAGTGTCTTCTGTCACATGATCCTGTGCTCTCTTTAGGTTCCCTCAAATTTAGAACCTGACAGGAACCAGATGAGGAGGGAAAAGGAAATGTGTCCATTTCAGGAGCATAGTTTGATGACGTCGTTGTGGTTGAACTGATGGCTTTTATGTACAGCTGTCGGTTGCTCAGCTGGTGCACAGATTTCTTCCTCACTCTAAACTTTGTCTTCTAGGAAAGGACAGCTCCGATGATGATGATTTCATCCCACTGTCGAAGTCCGACCCGACCATGGGATGCGTGCTATTTCAAAACTTTCTCAAAGGACCGGCCGTTTCCGAGGAAACGGCGAAAAAGTGGCGAAATTTGGGCTATAGGAATGAATGGGAAAACTCGAGAAACGGGACGTAAACCGTAACTAGTCCCGCACGGTTCGACGGATCGGCTGAGGACTAAGAACAAGCACTACAAGCACAATGCATATGTATATACATACAGCACTGTGGAGCTCAACTAACTATAAAAACGTCTTATCCAGTGAAAGACTATAGTGACTCTCCCTCTGCCCACAAACATACATTGAAACGAGGCAAGAAACTCAGCCACTACCAGGCATTACGTTTATATTAAAAGCAAAGCAATTAATCCCTTTATCATTGATACTGAAACTTTATGAAAAACCTTTGGTTTAGCCAGCTGTTCTAATGGATTTAAACAGAGTAACCTTAATTGACTTACAACAGCGGTGTCTCTGTGTCTCAGGCCCATCATCCCCACTCAACGTCCAGGCCACAACCCTCTCCCTGTCCGCCATCCAGGTGAGATGGCGGCCCCCAGAGAATCCAAATGGAGGCATCGTTAAATATGTCATAGAGTACCAGGCAGTTGGCCAGGAGAGCCCTCACCCTTGGGTCGACACAGATGATGGGAACAAGACCACCAAAGATGTGACAGCCCTCAACAGTAGCACAGCCTACCAGTTCAGAGTGAGGGCTTTCTCTAAAGTGCCAGGAGAGTGGAGCCATTTTGTGCAAGCAAAGACACAAGGTGATGGTGAGTAGGAACTCATTGTCTGTTCAGTTATTCCATTGCTGTATTTCTAAAGCGGGACATAACACACTACTATTGCAGTTTTGTCTAGGTCTTTACATGATATGAATATGGTATTTAACACCAGAAAGGTTTGAGAAAATGTCCTCTAAGCATTTTCAATCTTGTCTCTTACACTTGAAATCATTCACGCAAATTTGTCAGTTTACTTCATTTTGTAAAAAAAAAAAAAGTAACTTAAATTAACATATATCACGTAGAACCCCCGTTCTTATTGTCGGGGGTTTTGTCCTCAATCTGAGGGATCAGATATTTTAATGTGCTGATATAAATAAAGTACTTTATGGTTTTTTTTATGGCATGTTTATTTTGGTTATCAAGCTAAAAATAGATCCAAGTGGAAAATCCCATCACGTCCATATTCATAGCTTTTACCAGGTGCCAGGACCACCCACACAGGGACAGCAATTTTCTCATGATAATGATAAGGCTAGAGTAAAGCAGAATATGTTTCTCGGCTGGCTGAAAATCAACTTGACTTCTCCTCTTGTTTTTTCCCCCAACTTCCCCCATACTCATTGTTCTCTCCCTTACATCTTTTCTTCCACAGGCAGTCAGATTTTAGCAGCAACCACACAGAGTGTCGCAAGCAAACCTGCAGGGGAAGGTTCCCAGCTGCTGGAGGCGGTCGTGGGCTCTGTGGCTGTTACCTGTGTGACCATAATGCTGGCGCTGCTGGTTCTTTTCTTCATCAGGAAAAGTTTGCTCAACCGACGGCGCACATTTACCTACCAGTCTGGATCAGTGAGAATGCCCTACTATTTACTTATTAGAATTTTAGAAAGCTACATCTGACAACTTTCACATCGTTATATTTTTGCTGATCTTTCAATGTTCATAAAAAACAGGGTGAAGAAACAATTCTGCAGTTTAACTCAGGAACTCTGACCCTCACCCGACGGCCCAAGCCCATACCAGAACCTCTCACTTATCCAATTCTTGAGTGGGAGGACATCAAATTTGAAGACATCATTGGAGAGGGCAACTTCGGCCAGGTGTTTAAATCCTTACTGGACTATTTAACATTTTTGTGAAGTGATTACTAAGCTTTTTCCATGCAGTTAATTGTTTGAGCTAACCTCAGTTATTTCACAGGTTATCAAAGCCATGATCAAAAAGGATGGAAACAAAATGAGTGCAGCTATCAAGATGCTAAAAGGTTTGCATGCATTTTCCACCTCTGAAGTATTGTCAAGCCATTATTTTAAGCCAGTGTTGTGTGTAGTGTGCTTAAACTTGTTTGGCTTGTACTTTGTTTAATGTGGTATGTGCTCTTCTTCATGCAGAGTTTGCCTCAGAAAATGACCATAGGGACTTTGCAGGAGAGCTGGAGGTGCTCTGTAAACTAGGGCAGCATCCCAACATCATAAACCTGATAGGAGCATGTGAGAACAGAGGTAAGTGAGCGACACCTAGTGGAAAGATCTATAATAATCTGGGGTTTTGAAGGTAACGTTAATGGTTGTCATGGGTGACACTTTCAGCCACATATTTAACTGTGGTACATTGTCGAATTGTCTGTGTGTTTACATGCTTACAGTATAGTAACCAGGCCTTAAAATAGGACATTACTGTATAAATAATTCTCAGATCCACACAAAATTCAAAGTACAGAAAAGTATTGAATAATATACTTACAGTATATAAGGTTTCCTTGGTGTACATTCTAACTAAGGAGTTTCATTTTCCATCAACTAAAGCCAAAGGCTTCTAAATTGAATAACTTGATTACTTTTGTTTGATCATAACTTGACAACATGTGACAAGGGAAATCTATTTTGCTAGGCAAATCAGTAAGGGCATTAAAGGGCCATATTATCCTTGGAAAATATTCATCCAACCAATTTACAGTTCCTATCTTCTTGCTTCCTTTTAAAGGAAATCATTTTAAACACTAGTTTCTATAGGGCCATATTTTAAAACAAATATTTGGAGAAAACCTTTTAATCGTTATTAAATTAAAACAGAAAATAAATTATAAAGGACAAAGGCAGTATAAAGGGAAAGGGGGGAAGGGAAGGAAGGAATGTTCTGCAGAATAAAGAAGCTATGACAATAAAAATGTCAGAGAAGGACAAAGAAAATTTACTAAACACGTCCTTGAAATGTGTTGGGTTTCATATGTGTTTTCTCTGTGCTACATCTAATTTTGTTTGTCGAAATAGTTAAAAGAGACTTAATACTTGGAGGTGTGGCAGTATATGGTGTGGTCTTAGGCCCATTCACATTCTCATCTTACTGAGATCTGGAACAGATTTGTTCTCATATCAACATACTGGACGAATTAGGTGTATCCAGGAGGAATTCAGCTTTGAATTGTTGCACAGTTAAGAGGGGAGGAAAAGCTTAACATAAATGTCAAGAGGAAGATAAATTCTCCCTTAGAATTTATTGTGAAATTTGCCTTTCTCTTTTTTTCTGGTGACTCTGCTGATCTGATAAATGAACATTCACAGTTTGCTTTAAAGAAGTTGATCCGTAGGATAAATATAAAAAAAAAATGATAGCAGTAAAGCAAACAATTGAAGACGGTGGCATGAATGTTCATGGCACGGTCTTCAATTGTTTTCTGCTATGAAACAGGACTAAATTAATCAGATCCCCCACTGTAATTTATTTGCTTTTCAACCTTCTGTGTTTAAAGAAGATGATATGCAACAATATAATTTGCAAACTGTTTTGGAAAGAAGCTGCAAAAGGAAATTTTGTCTCTATTTTTGAGTAGTCTGTCCATCAGACCATCACTCTTTCCTTCCACATATGGTGATCACTAATTATGCTGGCACTGTTCCTGCCCTGGTGAAATCAACATGAAATTCTTCCAATAGCCACAAAGGCTGGATGGCCCGTAGACTTTTGGGTTTTGGCTGGAAGCCGTTATCTGTT